TATCTTCAAGTAGATTTTAGAATCAACTTGTCAGTCTCTTACCCCAAAAAAGGTCTGAAAATTTTCATTGGAATTGCATTGACTCTGTAGATCAATTTGGGGTAAACTGCCATCTTAACAATATTGAGTCTGCCAATCTATGAACATGGTGTATCTCACCATTTATTAAAGTTGCTTTTAATTTCTCTCTGAAATGTTTTGTAGTTGTCAGTGTATATATCTTATACATTTCAAAATTCAAATTCATGATTTTTGATGCTGTTATAAATAGTATAGTTTTAATATCAATTGCTAATTATGCACTGCTAATATATAGAGATACAACTGATTTTTTGTATATTCAATGAGTTCTTTTCATTCTGGCTGAAGAGAATATGAATGATACCTGGTTCTGTGTGTGCTCTGAGAATTGTTTACATTACAACTCCAATAATTGCTCTTTCCTCAGAAGTTGTCATTGCCCATCCTGGTGGAGATTCACCCTGTACATGCACATAGGGTATCCAAACACCAAGCAAATCCCCATGCAGATTCCTTGAAACTTTCTCTAGCTCTTTCCTCTCTCCAAATTCTAGCTTCCTTCACCTTCTTAAAATCAGGGAGATTGACGGGTTTTGTTAGAATTCCTCCTCCTTGTGTCAGTCTGGAATTTACAATCTGGTAGAAAGCCTGATTGAAGGTAGGACTTACCCTTTGTTTGCCTTCTCTCAGGAATTGTAGTCCTACACTGTCTGTTATCTAGGGTCTGACCATGGTTCATTCCTATAGTTAATCCTGCTTTTTAGGCATTTATGGAAGGAGGATGATCCTCATATGGCCAAAAGAGGGAATTTTGCCCCTGTAACTAAAGACTGATGACTCTAGAAGAGAATGTGGGAGGAACAGAGAGAATTCTTTCTCCTCTGAGTATTCATTCCTTAGAATCAGAGACTCTTGTGTTAATAATCAAGCACTGTAGTCAAAAGTAAACAGAAAAGCACCTATATTTTTCACTGAAAAACCTTTGTCTTTAAAAAAATGGAAAAGCCACTAGTACAGCTTAATTTGCTTTGACTTATCGCTAAGGAACATCATTTGGGTGAAGAATTTAGTAAGTTTCAGAGGCATTTTACCCAAATGACAACATCTACAGTCAACCCTATCAATCCTTGTGCTTCAGGGCATGGGCTGATCATCAGCTGGAAGACAGAAGATATTCCCTATCGTACTTCTATATCATCAACTACATTCAGGTCTTTATTTCCTTTAAACACAATTCATTGGAGGGCTGTAAGCACATTATGGCCAAATACTGCAACATGAGGGAGGGGAAAATATATAATATTTTAAAGAAACAAATTCAAGAAAATGATAAGTTATCAGGGAAGGTTAAGCAGAATAAGCATGTGTGTTTGTTGCTCAGTCGTGTCTGACTCTTTCAACCCCGTGAACTGTAGTCCATCAGTTTCCTCTGTCCATGGAATTTTCCAGGCAAGAATACTGAAGTGGGTTGCCATGTGCTTCTCCAGGGAGAATAAGCATAGAAAAAAAAATTTTAAAGGTCATTTTTGGTACCTATTACATACAGGGCCTGACAGAGAGTGAAGCTCAGCATTTGTTGAATGAATGAATAAACAAAGAAGGAAAGAAATCCTAGCCTCACCAATATTTGACCTTCAGTACTTTGCTCATTCTCAGTTTACTCGTCTTTAAAATGGGGATATTTATACCCATCTCTTCTTGTTATCACAGAGATCAAAGTAGATTATACATGTAAATAAATTAACTCACTGATGTGACTTAATCAATCACTGAGTCAGTAATGTATTTGTAGTATATATTTGTAATGTATTTGTAAATTCTTTCGCGTTTGTGTTGTTGAGCGAGAATTTTCTTTTCCTTTCTACTCAAATCACTGACTGTTCATTCTGAATCTTGTCTCAAATGTCATTTCTCTCTTACCTTTTCTTAAATAATGATTTCCAATTTAAACATTTTAAAATAAGCCATCAGTTTTTAACTTACTGCCTGGAACAGCATGAAAACTAAACAAATGATAGTCATTTAAATTTCCTGGGTTTGACTAAGCTAGTCTTGACCAAATAGACCTAACGAATCAATGATACATAATCAATATTTCTAGCAATGAAATCTTGATATATATTTCATGTATATCTCTCACAGGTCTGAAGACTGGGAAGTACAAGATCAAGGTATTGGCAAATTTGGTAACTGGTGAAGATCTGCTTCCTACCAGATGGGAGAGAGCAAGGGAGCTCTCTTGGGTTATGTTTTTAAGAGCACTAATCCCATTCACGAAGGCCCTGTCAAGGGCCACACCCCCTGATACCATGATCATTCAATGCATAGCAAATGGTGATCTGTGATAAGAAAGTTCAAACTCATAAAAAGAGTGACAGCTGCTTACCTTGAAATGTCAGAAGCACTGGGCTAAGGCTGCTCAGTTCAGTTCAGTTCAGTCATTCACTTGTGTCCGACTCTGCAACCCCGTGAATCGCAGGACGCCAGGCCTCCCTGTCCATTACCAACTCCCGGAGTTTACACAAATCCATGTCCATCGAGTTGGTGATGCCATCCAGCCATCTCATCCTCTGTCGTCCCCTTCTCCTCCTGCCCCCAATCCCTCCCAGCATCAGGGTCTTTTCGAATGAGTCAACTCTTCACATGAGGTAGCCAAAGTATTGGAGTTTCAGCTTCAACATCAGTCCTTCCAATGAACACCCAGGAC